TTTCTCCTGTCTCTCGTTTTGTCTTGCTCCTCTTGACTCTCTTCTCTCTTATATCTCGTCTCTCTTGTTTCTATTGTCTCTCGTCCCTCTTATCTCTCGTCTCTCTTGTCTTTTGACTGTCTTATCTCTTGTCTCTTTTGTCTCTCGTCTCTCTTGCCTTACTTTTCTCTCTCTTGCCTCAATTGCCTTTCGTCTCTCTTGCCTCTCTTGTCTCTCGTCTCTCTTGCTTCTTGTCTCTTTTGTCTCTCGTCTCTTTTATCTCTCATTCTCTTGACTGTCATCTCTCTTGTCTCTCGTCTCTCTTGACTGTCATCTCTCTTGTCTCTCGTCTCTCTTACCTTACGTCTCCCGCGACTAGATCCGAGGTGAGAGAGAGAGAGAGAGAGAGAGAGAGAGAGAGAAATAGTGTGAGAGAGAGATTAAGGAGATGATAGAGGTGAGGGGGACGAGGGAGACGAGGGGGACGCGGGAGACGTAAGGTAAGAGAGACGAGAGACAAGAGCCTCGTCTCCCTCGTCCCCCTCACCTCTATCATCTCCTTAATCTCTCTCTCACACTATTTCTCTCTCTCTCTCTCTCTCTCTCTCTCTCTCACTTCGGATCTAGTCGTATAGAATCGCAGTTCGTCTCGACAGCGCGCACCACGATGCAGCAAGGTACGACGACCGCGGGATCGCCGTCTATTTCTGAGACACTGTGTTCGACGCGCACGAGTAATTGGGGCGATAACTCGATAATTGGCCGATTACGCGAACGCGTTTCGTCGATCGAGGCGATTCAGTTCGGTTAATCACTTTCGAGGTGCCTGCACACGCCTTCTATCCGCGTCAGCAAGCTCTTTTCTCTCCCGTTAGCCGCGAACCTGACCCGTTCCACGACGTCGATATCGGCCGTGACGCGCAGCGCCGCGCCGCGACGATGATATCGCGCAAAACGCACGGCTCGATCGAAGCTCGCAATCGGATCGGAAAGCAGTCGCGTGTTCGCAAATATTAACGGCAAATACCGCGACGGTTGTCCGAGGAAGATTATCCGTAGGATTCCGTGGCCGCCACTTCCGGATACCCCGCGCAGTTTGTTTAGGATTCCCGTGGACGTTGCGTAAAATTTACTTGCCGTATTAGCCGTCCGGCAATCCGTTCGAGTATTTACGCAATGACCGTCCGCGGCGGATGATGAAATATCGAGTTGCTTAAGTACGAGCAGATTCGTAATCTACGCATGATCCCCGGCTGTTCGTTAATTGCGAGCTACGAGCCACCGTTTACAGTAATGTCTCCCTAACTGACGCTCGGATTCTGCACTATTGGGATCATGGCTTGGATTATTTCTCAAATGAATATGATATTAATTCTTTTTCTTGAAAGTTTTATTTTTACTTTTATTTGAGAGAAGATATATGTACGAAATGACCGAGCGACCAAATTCAACTGAGAGACCGGCGACTGAAAATCGCCTGCTTATACACCCTTTTTTGGTGCGGTTTTCTCCACCAATCAAAGACGGTCATTCATCNTGAAATATCGAGTTGCTTAAGTACGAGCAGATTCGTAATCTACGCATGATCCCCGGCTGTTCGTTAATTGCGAGCTACGAGCCACCGTTTACAGTAATGTCTCCCTAACTGACGCTCGGATTCTGCACTATTGGGATCATGGCTTGGATTATTTCTCAAATGAATATGATATTAATTCTTTTTCTTGAAAGTTTTATTTTTACTTTTATTTGAGAGAAGATATATGTACGAAATGACCGAGCGACCAAATTCAACTGAGAGACCGGCGACTGAAAATCGCCTGCTTATACACCCTTTTTTGGTGCGGTTTTCTCCACCAATCAAAGACGGTCATTCATCGCGTTTTATATTGTATACGCGATACTAGGATCACTAACAGTCAGAGCGCGATGTGCTCGAACGACACCGGCGATGATATATCGCGGTATCTATAATACAGGGTGTCCTAAAAATGTCTCGCAATCCGGAAACGGCGGGCTCCTCGGATCATTTGAAGCAACTTCTTCCTTTACAAAAATTTTCTCCGGGGCACCGTTATCGAGTTATTAACGAAAAACAGTGACCAATAAGAATCGAGCACGGCTGACGCGAGGCGGCCCGGCCAACCAGCGCGCGAAGCCCAGTTCCGCTCATTGGCTCGGTCGCCTCGCGCCAGCCGAGCTCGCCTCTCATTGGTCACTGTTTTTCGTTAATAACTCATTAACGGCGCCTCGGAGAAAATTTTTGTAAAGGAAAAAGTTGCTTCAATTGACCTGAGGAACCCGTCACTTTCGGATTGCGAGACATTTTTGGGACACTCTGTATATAGTTTACATCACCATTGGTGCGCGCTGACGGAACCGGCGGAAATGTAAACTGATATTTTCGAATCTCAGTCCTAAGTAAATTATAGATTAATTTTTGTGTCCGAGACTAAAGTTTCTTTTTCAACATGCACAATAATGGACAATTTGGGAAGAGGGGATACGTTTGTCCGGGCGCTGCACCTAGTAAACTATAATATAATATAATATAATATAAGTAAACTATAGATTAATTTTTGTGTGTCCGAGGCTAAAGTTTCGTTTTCAACATGCACAATAATGGACAATTTGGGAAGAGGGGATACGTTTGTCCGGGCGCTGCACCTAGTTTTCAGAATTGTTGACAATCGGTAACTATCAAAATGAGTCTCGCAAGGCTCGAATAATCGTATCTCCTCTTTCCAAATTGTGCAATTTTGTGGGACAATCCGAGCGTCAATTAGAGAGACACTGTTCCGTCTACCGCGTGTCACGGAAATGCGCGCGAGATAAACTTAGGCGATCTGTGACTTCTCGAGATCGTAACGATTCGGCCGCGCTGTGTGCAATAAATATTTTTAATTATAATTATATATGAAAAATATTTATGAAATTATTTTATATTATTTATGGAAAAGAGGAAATCGTGGAGAGTCGTCCATTCCGCTTTTATCATTTTATTTTATAATCGCATCTTTGCATTCTGAATAATCGTAAATTGAACAATTAATTATACATTGTATAACAATAATCTGTCATTTTGTTGGATTCCGCGAACCCAGCGCTGACCCGACGAGCCGGTAATTAAATTTCGTGAGAATGCAATTATTTTTATTGTAACATAGTTGATCTTGTATAAAACAAAAACGTCTCGTTAATTTTCGAATCGCGAACGCTTGCTAACGAAGCACAACATACACATTACACGTGTTCGTATCGTATTGTAGTTTGTATAACATGCCGTTTTTATACATACAGTTGCCCACAAAATTGATCGTACACCTTTTGAAACGCGATAACTTTTTTAAAACTGAAATAAGTGATTTTTTTAGAATTTTTTCTTATTAGACGATGGCTAAAATGCCTTCTTTAAGTTTTGTTATTATTTGGGATAACAAAAAAGAAAAAGAAAATAAAATAACTTTCGTTTTTCAACTTTTTCATTCGAGCCTATAACGGAAATTTAAAAAACGCCTCCCGTAGATCTCGATAACTTATATACGCGCTGAAAATACCGAGATCTGCGAAAGGCATTTTAAAAATGTTTGTTATAGGCTCGGATAAAAAATATGAGATTTTTTTATTATCTTTTGTCACCCCCAAGTAAGCAAATTAAGCAAAATTAACCATTTGCACTCGAGTGGTGACTCTGAGGCACAGCTAAAATTTGCTATATCGCGTTCTAAGATAATTTTTACATTAACAAAGTTTAGATTTAAAAAGATTGTTAAAAGTGTAACCGTTGCGTAAGTCGCAAGATTCAATTTCGCATGTGTAAAATGCACTTTGCCGTATAAAATGAAAATACAATAAGTCGAAAAAATTATTTCAGATTTACAGTTAAAACAGCTTCGAGTGCAAAGGGTTAAGCAAATGCATTTCAGTCATCGTCCAATAGACCAGTCCCTCTGTCATCTAAACAAAAATTCAAGCCACCTAGTCCAGTTCTAAAAAGGTAATCGCGTTTTAAAAGACGCACGCTCGATTTTGCGAGTAACTGTACACAACAATCGATACGGCGTCGTTAATTCGACGATTAAAACCGCTCGCTGTAGCAGCGTCCGTCCGTTCTAGGACGCTCGACTGTATTTTATAGTAGGTTGAATTTTCGATGTACTTGCGCGTCCGGTGGAAAATAATTCGACCAAATTTTGCATGGGACCAACCGCGTCGCACAGATATGCGCGGAGCGCGTGCCGAACAGCGTGAAAAATGAGGATTAACCTTTTAGGTACGGCTGAATTCTGCGCGAGGCTATTTCTCTGGACGGCAGAGTCTGATGTGTACCGTACAGAGTCTGATACTGTATATACAGAGTGTCCCAAAAATGTCTCGCAATCTGAAAGTGGCGAGTTCCTTAGGCCATTTGAAGCAACTTTTTCCTTTACAAAAATGTTCTCCGAGGCACCGTTAACGAGTTATCAACGAAAAACAGTAACCAATGAGAGGCGAGCTCGGCTGGCGCGAGGCGACCGAGCCAATGAGCGGAACTGGGCTTAGCGCGCTGGTTGGCCGGGCCGCCTCGCGTCAGCCGTGCTCGATTCTTATTGGTCACTGTTTTTCGTTAATAACTCGTTAACGGTGCCTCGGAGAACATTTTTGTAAAGGAAGAAGTTGCTTCAAACGATCCAAGGAACCCGTCAATCCCAGATTGCGAGACATTTTTGGGACACCCTGTAGACTGTTGTAAATCGATGCGAAGACAAAAGAAGCGTGAAACAATGCATATGAAGACGATTATTTGGTTCATACGATGAGCGAGTGAGCTACTAGAGCAAGCCACTATAGTGGCGCGTCGTCCAGAGAGACGACATCCGCGAAAGCCACTATAGTGGCGTGTCGTTCTGAAAGATGACATCCGTGGAAGCGACTATAGTGGCGCGTCGTGCCTAAAAGGTTAATTGGTTCGCTCGGAGCGGCGCGCCTCGTCTTCCGTCCGACGACGATGGTCCAAGGCTGACGCTGATCAACTTCTGTTTCAGATGACCTCTTTAATTCCGGAGACACGGTGGCGGACGACGACGACGCCGACGCCGACGCCGACGCCGACGAAGCCGGCGACGCCGAAGGTGAGTCACTTTCAGTCGATTTCCAAAGTTTCCGGGAGAGTTTTAATTGAGTGTGTTTAGTATTCATCGACGATCGAGTTTGAGGGATTAAAGTGAAATTACGCGAGCACGCTTGCATTTCGTTAACGAACTACGGGATGTACCTTTCGCCTCGTTCGGACTTTTACAGGGAAACAGCCGGCGAACTGCTATCTGCCTTCCGTTCCTCGAAACTTCCCCGCGATTTCCGCGAAGGAGAGCGCGACCGCTCTCCTTGTCATTTTCCGCTTTTATCAACGTCGGCGCGAACGCGAACGCTCGATCGATTCGCGATCGACTCGCGTCGACCCGCGAAATCTCGCGATCCCGAGTCCCGCGAAAATCGAGCGTCCACGTTCGACTTCGGTCCTCGAAGACCGAATCGTCCGACAGGAAATGTCGGAGGCTCTGGAACTTTCCGAGCCGACGGAAAAAAAGCTCGGCTACCGTCGGTCGCGAGTCAAGTTTCGATAACGCTGTTTCGGTATTAAAGCGCGCGAGCGAATCCCCCGAGCAAATCATTTGAACGGCGGAAGCCACTTCCGTTTTTAAATAACGTTTTAAATATCGTTCCGCTCGCGTAAAGGAAAAAATATCGGCGTTGCGGGGAACGCGGCCTGGAAAGGTTCAATTTGCGCCGGCCGGGCCGGCGTACGTTTCATGCGGCAAAAATACGCGATTTATTCCGCGCGTCGATTCCCATTCGTTCTTGTTCCGCCGCGTTTCGACGCGGACAGCCGATTTTCAATATGTTCTGTAACCCGGCGTCCTCGTTAGGCTCATGGTTATCATCGCCGCGGTAATAAATTGAAATTCGCCCCGGTATCTCGTTTCCAATTTAGGGCCGGCGCGGGGCGCGGAACTTTTCCTTTTTTTTCTTCACTCTGTTTCTCTCGCTTTCTCTGTCCCTCTGTTTCTCTCTCCCTATTTCTCTCTCTCTCTCTCCCACTCTGTTTCTCTCTCTCTCTATTTCTCTCTCTCTCTCTCTCTCTCTCTCTCCCTATTTCTCCCCTCTCTCTCTTTCTCTCTCCCTATTTCTCCCCCCTCTCTCTTTCTCTCTTTCTATTTCTCTCTCGCCTTCTCTCTTTCTCTCTCGGTTCTCTGCTCTCTCTCTCTCTTTCTCTCTTGATTCTCTGCTCTCTCACTCATTCTTTCTTGACTCTGCTCTCTCTCTCTCTCTATCTCTCGATTCTCTGCTCTCTCTTTTAATCTCTTTATTTTCTCTTCTCTCTCTCGATTCTCTACTCTCTCTCTTTCTCTCTCCTCTCCCGTTATCTCGATTCTATGCTCTCTCTTTCTCTCTCTCTTTAATTCTCTCTCGATTCTCTGCTGTCTCACTTTCTCTTTCCCTTTAATTCTCTCTCTCTTTCTCTCTCTCTCTCTCTCTTTAAATCCCTCTTCCTTCCTCTCTCTCTTTAATTCTCTCTTCCTTTCTCTCTCTCTTTAATTCTCTCACTCTCTCTCTTTATTTCTCTCTCTCTTTATTTGTCTCTCTTTAATTCTCTCTCTCTTTCACTCTCTTTAATTGTATCCCTCTCTTTTTATTTCTCTCTCTCTCTCTTTCTCTCTCTCTCTCTGTCGTTCCATTCATTCGTACGTTTTCCGGGCATCGATCGACAGTTATTAATATCGGCGATGGAAACGGGTTATTTTTCATCCGCCGGTATTATATCCCATTATATCTTTGATAAACGCAGAAATACGTTCGTACGAGAGCGATCAAAGTTCCCGGGGCGCGATCAAATTATTTTTCATCGGGGAGGAAAGATAATCGCGCGCGTCCGATGAATCGCTGCCGCGCGCGCCATTTTTATCCCGCGGAAATTTCTACGGATTCCAGGCTGACCGGTTAATTAAATGTTTCGGAAATATTTCGGAGATAATCGAAAATATTTGGAAATACTCGAGAACGTTCGTGCCCGGGGGCGAACCGCGCGTGCAGCCGTTGCAGCGTACCCGGTTCCCGAACTATTCGAATTATTCGAAGTATTTGAACTATTTGCGAAGGCCGAGCACGAAACTCCGGGCGCGGTGTAACAGCGTTGTTCCAGTAAATCAGAAAAAAGGAGCCGGGGAGGTTGCGTTCGATCATCGTGAAAGAAGGATTATCCGTGGTGTCTACTTGCTCTCCTTATTGATGAGACATCTGGCGTTCCGCGGGGCACCCATCTGGGACCCTTGCTATTTATATTGTTTACAAATGATCTGCCCCGTAGCCTAAGTCTCGGCCGTACTCTATTATCTGCAGATGGCTATAAAATATATAAATATATAATATAATATAAAATGGCTATAATAATAATTATTATTATATATATAATAATAATAATAATAATTATAGCCATTTTATATTATATTATATATTTAATTAATTATTATATATATAATAATAATAATTATATATATATATTATTATTATATTTTATATTATTATATATGTATATAGTATGTATATATACAATATATACTATAATATATTATATAAATGGTATATATCGTCATGATATATATGCTTTTCACGCATCGTTATACTCGCTCGCATAATCAAATTGCGTTCCACGTTTTCTCTTCTTCGGAGTATTTTTATATTTATATTTTGTTTTTAGTTTCCAGTTTTTATATTCCGCCCATCCTCGCGCAACTGCTGCATTATTATTACTTTCTGTCACTGTGACAAAAAATGTGGCAAAATTTATCCCGGTGACAAATAAAATTATTATTATTATTATTAATATTATTATTATCATTATTATTATTATTATTATTATTATCATTAGTCCGCGAATCTTTACGCAAAATAAAAATTGTTTGCATCGTTTGCAGGATACAAAATCTACGTATAGACATTTCTCTCTTCGTTTAATTATTTTATTGCAAACCGATGCAGCGGTATTAATATATAATATAATAATATATAATATATAACAATAATAATTTTTTATATCTATAATATTATAATATTATACATACAATGTAAGCAATATATAGTCTACATACAATATAATATATATATATATATATATATAATAATATAATAATATGTGATGTTACATATAATAAATTTTTAATAGACAAATAAACAAACAAAGGAGCCCAGCACGTGGCCTGTTAGCGAGAAAAATATCGTACGGATTGAGATAAATTGGCGGAAGGGGGGCGTCGGAGTTGCACGAGCTCGAAATAATAATAATATATAATATATAATAATAATTTTTTATATCTATAATATTATAATATTATACATATAATAGAATGTAAGCAATATATAATCAACATATAATATAATATATATATATATATATAATAATATAATAATATGATGTTACATATAATAAATTTTTAATAGACAAATAAACAAACAAAGGAGCCCAGCAGATGGCCTGTTAGCGAGAAAAATATCGTACGGATTGAAATAAATTGGCGTAAGGGGTGGGGGGACATCGGAGTTGCACGAGCTCGAAATCGAATTACTCGGGGGTACGCGGACGAAAAGTATGGCATCGCAAGGGGTGGATTGGGTCAGGTGGGCACCTAGGCACGACACGGCAGTTCGGATCTACGGATCCACGAGGCGCCAGCAACTAATTCAATTTAGTAGGCGCTCGCCTCGCCTCGCCTCTCGGCTCGGCTCTCTCATCGCGAAACGAGAAAGAAAGGGCGACAATGCCGCGTTAAGAACTTCCCTTTTTAGGTGGAGCACGTTAGCTTGGCTCGCCGCGAAAAAGGACCAAAGTTTACGGACGGGGAGACCGAGCAACGAAAGAAATTCCCCGGGATTCCGGGACTCCTAACTTACCTAAATTTTTATCGAATTTCCGCGCTCCGGCGGCCGCACGAAAAAAGAAAAAAATGGCAGACTCGAAGTCCCGATTTCTCGGGAGAACCGGATGAAATCGTTGACGACGCTGATCGATGAACGTAAACGAAAAGACGACGATCCGGACCGCGGATCTCCGTGCAAAATAAAAAGCGTTTTCCGCTCGTTGCGAGAAGCAGAAGTCGGTCAGGGATTTCTATCTCTCTCTCTGTCATAATTTTGATAAGTTCAAAATGCTGCATTGGCATCCTACGATCGTTTTCATTTAACCGCTGTTTTAACCCTTTACACTGGAAGCTACTTTAACTGCAAATCTAAAATAATTTATATTATTAATATATTATATATATAATTTATATTATTAATATATTATATATATAATATATATATTATATATATTATATTATTATTATATTATTATTATTATTATTATTATTATATTATTATATATTATTATAGTATCTTCATTCTATACGACAAAGTGCATTTTATGCATGCGAAATTGAGTCTTGCAGCTTACACAACGGTTACACTTTTAACAATTTCTTCAAATCTAAACTTTGTTAATGTGAAAATGATCTTAGAACGTGATATAACAAATTTTAGCGGTGCCTCAAAGTCACCGCTCGAGTGCAAAGGGTTAAATCGCGCTCGTTCGTTTTTCTTATAAACGCATAAAATCTGCGGTCTAATGATTATAAATATTATTATACATTTATAAATATGAAATGGAAACGGTCGAACAGTGGAGCCGGTTACTGCTCGCGGTGACCAATTGCTGTGCCCCTCGCTTCGGTTTTCCGGCACATTATTTACCTTATATTTACTAATAAAAAATATAAGCCCTTTTTATTCTTTCCGTTTCGTCTGTTTTCGAATTAACTTTATATTAATCGAATAATACGTATGAAATACTTTCGTCGAAAAAAAAATATGAACGATACAAAAGAACTCGAAAATTGTGTGTGTCCATTACTGCGCGGCGACCGATATCGCTGGAGACCCTCGCTTCGTTTTCGTGCATATAATTCCCTTTATATTTACCGATAAATATTAAACCCGTTTTATTCTTTTCGTTTCGTTCGGTTTCGAATTAATTTGATATTTATCGAATAACGCGTATGAAATTCTTTCGTTGAAAAAAAAGAAGAAATGCGCGATATGA